AAACCCTACAATTTCCATCTGAAAAGAATGATGTCACACTGATGTCACACCAGCCATAGTTCACAATGATTGACACATTACCATGACAGCATGCCTTAGAGCAACACAAGCCGGGCTCTCATTGGCTGAGAGGGCAGGCCTCCACCCCTGGGAGTAAAGACCTCCCTGATTGGCCCTTTCATATGTTTATTACCCTTGAGCCACCCCTGCCCAGCCAACTCCCACCTGCCTTCTCCCAGTCTGAGTTTGTCCACACAACAGAACAGACAGGCTAGGTCTGCATTCTGGTCACACCGAGTACTTCTAGTAATGTTGGATGTATGTGGGGGAAAATGGAGACATTAGAGACAGCAGACTCGGAAGTACTGAGATCATTCCTGTGGCACGAGGTGGGTGATGTGTCTGTATCACTTCTGAAGGCTTTCAATCATTTGCAGGGTGTCAGATCAAGCATATAATGTCCTAGGTTCAAGCAAGGAAATTCAGTCCAGTTGGTCCAATCATACATAATGTTGGATGTATGTGGGGGAAAATGGAGACAATAGAGACAACAGACTCGGAAGTTCTGAGATCATTCCTGTGGCATGAGGTGGGTGATGAGGCATGATGAAAACCTTGACATGGTTCTTCTAGTGGAAACAGAGTCTGTATCACTTCTGAGGGCTTGCAGGTTGTCACTTCAAGCATATAATGTCCTTGGTTCAAGCAAGGAGATTCAGTCCAGTTGGTTCAATTTGTAACTGTTACAGTCTGTTAGCAGTTTGAACAAAGATATGTTTGGCTAGAATTTTTTTGGATTCATAGAAAGTAGTTGATCTTGATGAAATAGTTGATCTGAGTACTAGGTAATAACAAAGGCAAATCAGCATTTCTTTTAGCATTCTTGTTCTTTATGATGTTCCAAAAGGCTGGTAGTGGGTCAGGATAGAATTTGCTTTTGTATTTTTCTGAATTGATTTAGCAATTCATATGACTATAAAGGAAGTAATGTTCAAGGAAGTGACAAGTGCATGAGCCAACAATACTTTTGGGACTTCCCAAGTCCAGGATATGTCTGTCGCTTCTGGGGTTTGCAGTACGTCATGTTGGACACAGAAAAGCCTGGCCTGGGCTCTTTGTTTATAGAAAAGTCCTGGTTTATCGGTTCCTATGACGACAAAGGAAATTTCGTACAGGGAAGTAACGGACAAAAGTACTTCCAGTGGCTTTCCTAGTTCTGCGTAGTAAATTATATTCTTGTTCATTATCTGGACAAACCTTCAAACTCTCTTTCCAACACAAAATTATACCAAAGCAACTGTTACTCCATCGACTATATAGTATATTTGAAACTGCTTGAGGAACTGCTAGTTTGGTATCTTGGGATGTCTAGCCTTCATGATCATCACAAAATTATGTTTGCTCACTAAAATTACTGCACAAAATTGTGAATTGTTTGTTCCCTGAGTTTAGGACATTTTTTGTTCCCTTTGTTTAGTTTGACCCATTTCTGAGAAAGAGGGAAGTGTTTAGTTTATAGATCATAATCAGCAGAACTTTGCATGCAGTTCACGTTAGTGTGAAGCTACTGTACCAAGTCGTTGAGTAGACATGACCTCTGTTGCGACCCCACTTTGTTCCGTCTGAGTGACAGCTGAGAGACACATCCTGTGCCAAAACGTGACTCATCCTTTATTACCGAACTACTCACCATTACACCACAGCTCTGGGAAGGCGGGACACTTCCTATGGCCTTTCTCACTGCCTGGAGCACTTGTTCCTTCCTGGAGAGATTAGATTTCATTAGTGTATTTCTTAATGTGGACGAGATATATTCGGCATTATGCTTGGAGGCATGAATTACGTGTTGAAAATGAAGGTTCTTCAGGAGACCTACGTTCACTTGCGGTACATGAACACAGAGTTTCATGTGCTGTCACCCAGGGTAGGTACTTCAAACTTTGCTCCTATACTGTCGGCTTTGGTACAGGAAATGTGGGAATGAGTGGGCATGTCGGTTCATGGTCGGTTATAGAAAGTTCTGGTACAATTTTCTTTGATTTTGTCCTTGAAGTTTTCAGTACGGGTAGAGTGAATTGGTAGAGTGAAGCCAGTTCATAGCTCAAAAATGTCATGGCGACATTTCCCACATAGTTAGTCTGGCTGCGCAGCCGCTATTTTAAATGGGGGAGGACGTCGGCTTTTGTGGTGAACTTGATGTTCGGATTCCTGGTGTGTTCCTGGCGTAATCCAACCATTGTCAAGTCCCAAGGCAGTCTGAGGAAGTATAGGTAGACAGGCAGACAGGATTTCGTGTTGTTTGGGTGGTCTTTGGTGTGGGTTTTCCCCTGTGGTTGGAATCCGTTCCAGCTTGGGAACTTTCTGTAGCTGGGAAAACTTTCCTGTCCCTATTCCCATGCCGAAAACTCAGCTGGGAGAAGAGGGCAAATATTTGAGGAAACAGAAAACAATTCTCAGTGAATTCTCAATTCAAATTCATTTTCAAAAGAAGAATTCAATTTTCAATTGAATTTGAAAAATTCATTTACAAAGCAATACTTTTCAAAGTATTGCTTTGTAGAATCTATAGTTGTAGAGTTTAAACTTTATTCCAAGTTCCAACACAAAAAGGAAAATCCGTGGTTCCCTTTTTGTGTTGGAACCAATTTTGTACTCTACAACTACAACTATAGATTTTGTGTCACTCAGACTGGAGTCTATTAAAGTATATTCGCCAAACTGTGAAGTGGCAGAACAATTGGCATTTTCACACCCTATTGTTCACCTTTAGCACCTCAGACTGGTTGTACAGGTGGGGGTTAGATGGGGTTGTTCACACCGACACCATTGACATTTCAACAGTACATCTAATGTCCAAGCTGATGTTTCAGTGGCCACAAAATACTAGCCTCCGCAGCATGCCAAAAACTGCTGGTTTTTGGGGTCTTCGTGGTCTTTGGGAGCTTCTATGTGCTATTTTCCGATTGCATATAGACAACATAGCCGGCCTGGTTGAATTACCTCCGTTTTAGAACTGGGCTAATCAGAAAACAGCCGAAGAGCCCCAAACCCCCAGTTCTTTAAGCCTGCTACGGAGGCTAACAAAAGACAGTATTGGATAAATTGGCCAAGAAGTATCCATTCTATTAGACAGTATCCATATTTTTGGATGGCAAATAGATACTGTCTGTCTTTTGCAGCCACCATAATTAAACATCTGCTTGGAGATTACAGTACATTGTCTGGTTGATGGGGTTGTTCACACTGTCACCATTGACATTTAGACAGTACATTGTCTGTGCCAGACGGGGCACACTTACAGTTTGTGGCACACCTCTGTTTGTCTCCGTGTGCAATATCTGTGAAATTATAGTAATCATCTGCACTTTGATTGAACCACTTTCTGTTTTTTGTGCTGCCTTGTATGTGGTCGTCTATAGCAGCTGTGTTTTGATGTTAGGTTCCATATGGTGGGTTGAATTTAGTTAGACTCTACCAGGCTTCAGAGGTAGCTGGAAAGAGTAGAAATTGGATTTAGCCTCTACCAGGCTTCAGAGGCAGCTGGAAAGAGTAGAAATTAGATTTAGCCTCTACCAGGCTTCAGAGGCAGCTGGAAAGAGTAGAAATTGGCCAAATAGACAGATGACATGGATGACATGTCAAATGAGTGGCAAACTCTACTCCTCTAGCGGACCAACTTCCCTGACATGTTATCTGTCCATTTGGCCAATTTCTTCTCTTTCCAGCCACTTTTGAAGCCTGGTAGAGGCTAGGTTGAATTCCAGTTTTAGCACAAGGCTTAAAAGCTCAACCATAAAGACATGCCATTTACTTTATAAACAGACAATTCCATGCTTTGTGCCCACATCCGTGCCCATGCATGCTTAGTCCAAACATAAACTGAAACTTGGGCGTGTTTATAATTGAACTACATAATAAACTGGGTAAACTGGCAACTCGGTTATCTAGAAAGGCTACTGTGATGTAATTTTATGGATTGGTTTGCTATTTAGTTCTTGAGTCAACAGGTCTTGAAATTGGTTTTGAGTTGACTTGAAGTTTTAGATGTGTTTGTGTGAATGCATTATAACCTTCTTTCTATATAACTGGCTCACTCATTGTAGACATACGTTAGAGGAAACGGGGTTAAAAGTGCATTGCCTGTGTTGTTGTTTTTATACTTAATTTCAAGCCTTTAGGAAAATGATAGCTGACCTCAAACTCAATGGTGCAAAAAGGACAGTCCATCCTCATTTAAAACAGCATGAAGACCAGCCGACTTGGTTTTACATGTACATGCAGTCCCCTTACATTATGCAAGTGTGGGGCCAGTGGGTCTGCCTATGTTTAGCACATCAAACATTCTATTTGCTGGTCAAGCAGCCCCTGTAGCAACAGACTGGTCAGAACTGGTAAAAACAGCCTGTGTGTGGACGTGTGGCCATGTTAGGCAAGTTTGTTTCCTCAGAGATCACTGCTTGTATTCTTGTACCATTTGGAAGGATGGAGTTTAGGTTTGTGAAGTTTCAATCAATGTTTAGTTTTACGTTTTATATCTTTGTCACATGTAGTGTCATAATGTTCTTTGTAGAATTTGTATCTGTATAGCTGGTATGACTGCACTTCAGCGTAACACACCAGCCTTTCTGATGCCTTATACTAAGTGAGATGTATAATGTTCTTTGTGAGATATGGTATCCTCTGCTACTGAGGTCATGTGTTTAACAACATCAGGTTTGTTTCTTCTATTCATGGTAGATTTATAAGTGGTTTGGATACCTCTATACGTGTGCATTTACAGTGCTCTCCACCTATTTGCATCACTGACGCTTCTGTAATGTTATTGGACCTAACCTGTTATACAGATAAAATTCTCTGACAGAATGTTCATGCAAATAGCTGGAGAGCACTGTACTAATTTTCAAATGTGTAAAACAAAGCCATGACAGTCGAAAACAAAGTTTTGCTAACTTAAAAATGTATAAAACAAAATGTTGACAGTTTTTTATTTCCCTTTGCAGGCGTACGAGTGGGCCCTGGAGGGTATGAAGTTTGTAGCCCTGATGAACATGGAGGAGTGCCACTCACTTCGGGGCTGCGACAGCCTCATGCACGACCTGGACACTTACCTACGCGACCACCCACCCATCCCACAGGACAAGGTACAGGTCTTGTGTTTTAGAATTGTTAGGTCATGTTGATTTAATTATAAGGATGACATCCTCTGGGAACCCCAAAACTGATATAAGAGTGCGATGAAAAAAGTTTGGCAAAAAAAAATTGCTTTCATTATGAAATCTACATGGTCATGACGATTGAACAAATGACACAGGGTATGGTATGGCGAATAATCTACTCTTCAAATTCATTTCTTCACAATTTCATTGTTTTTTGTTTGATTTTGGCATTCTAGAACATTGGTATCGTCTTCCAATATTATATTTCAACTTAGGGTATATATTTGCTCATTTTGCAACAGTTTTTTACGATTTACATTCTCTCATTTTCATTCACTAGTTTGACCGCATGGCCGCCCTCGCCAACAAGCTAGACAACCAGAAGTGCATGGAGCAGTGCAAGTTCGCCAGGACTAAGTGCCGGGAGACGGAACAGTTGGTCGAACGGAAGCAGGCAGCGCTACGGAAAGCCAAGCAGAACTTAGAAGGCAGCAAGAGCGAAAAGCCGCGCAGGAGAACTGTCGCAAGCGGAGAAGAGACGAGGCTTGTGGTAACGAGAACTGTAGACGCACAGCCAAAGGAGGATAATATAGAGGAAGAGAGTACTAGCAGTAGTAGCAGTAACACGCAGCGCGTAGCAAAGAAATCAGAAACGAGGGACAGCATAAAGAGAGTTGTGGCAAAGATGAACAGCGCAGGGAGCACGGACAGCAGAGACACGAGCAGCAGCGAGAGAACTGACGAAGGTTTCGTGGAGGGAGAGAGTTTGGACACTTCAGTGATTTCCGGCAGCTGCCCGGTTTCCCCCATTTCTAATGTTGTTGCAAGCCCGGATAACCATTCGGTAAAAAGCGAACCCACGCCGTCTGCCACCACGAGTACACCAGTGGGCGGCGCACGGCCGAAGGAACATCCCGTAAAGCGTCTCATGAAGAGACATAGCACCGCGTTCGAGCTCTCCAGATTCAAGATTCCCGGGCTGGACTACGGACGGAAGGGGAGGTCGCCCACCACCCCCATCACCAAGGACGACCTTGCCGTCTCAAGGTCGCAGGACACGTTGTTGCAGGGAGAGGACAGTCAGGAGACCCTGGTGTCCTTTAACTCCGGGGAGGAGAGCCTGTTGCTTCCGCAGACAAACACTCACCTGAAGAAGTCTTCCAGTGTGCCGAGATTGGAGGGAGATGGGGACCAGGTGGTGCCGGAGGTCAAGAAGACGAGGTGAGATCCATTCTTTTTACATTCATTCATTCACTCACTCACTCACTCACTCACTCACTCACTCACTCACTCACTCACTCACACACTCGCTATTCCGTTTATTGTCAGTTGTTCCTTGTGCCCCAAGGGTTAGACGTGCTTGATGGCAGATGATAGAAATACAATGAAATGACTATACAATACAATAAAATAACAATGCAATAGAATAACAATACTTTACAATGAAATAATCATACAACAAAATAACAATGCAACAAAACTACAATGAAATAACAATACAACAAAACATGATGAATACAAAATGTATAACAGGAAACAATCAAAAGGAGACTTATTCCACAGGTGTTCTGCAGACCCAAAATCCATTGCCAGAATACCAGAAAAGGCTTAGCTCAGAAGCTTGAAGCATTTGTCAACAAACTTCTCTCTAAGTGTTAATTGTTATTTAGGCGCTGGGTCCCTGCCAGGCCATACCGCAACACCACATGCCTTCAGCTAGACTAAACGGGAAAACAAACCAGTTCCGTAGTCAAACAACCAAAAAATTTAAAACTCAAATTTTGCTGCATTATCTTCATTTACATGGCAATTTTGTAGGGAATAGGACATTTATGATCAGCCAAGAATGACCAGCACTGTTTTAGTCTTCTTGATACAAGAGAAACTTGTATTTCAGACCAGCAAAGTACCAGAAGTTTTCGGCTTCACTGTACGTACATTGGACCGTAGTTTGTATGTTTGTTACATGTTGGCTGTTTTTGGTCTGCCTTAAGCCGAACCTGACAATGAACGCAGATACTGAGACTGTGGGAATCTTTCCCGAGACAACGACAAGTTTCTGCAAGTATTTGTCACAAAACAACCGACACCTCTAAATAGTCTCTAACGGTTTGTTGCATGTTGTTCCTGTCTACAGCAAGTTGGACCTGATCATGGATGAGTTCCTACAGACAGAGAGAGACTACGTGGCTTCACTACAGTACATCATCGAGGTAAGACACAAGATTCAAGTTTGCATCTTTGACAATAGAAAAGAAGACATAATGTAGAAAGAGTGAAAGTGTAGATCCAATACTAACTGTAGAATTGGGGTTACCAAAAAAAAACCTGTCCAGTTACTGGTACATGCAGTCAAGCCTGTAGTGCTGGTGACCACCTCTACATAAGGACCACCTGGCCCAATGTGGTCCCTTTAATTATTTTTTCCAGGCATTTAAAACTATGTCTGCAGTGACCACTTGTCTATTGTGATAATTTTTTTTCATCAAATCCCTCGAGTAGACAGGTTTGACAGTATGCTGATACTGGTAAATGTTTGAATAGCCTGAGTGCTGTCTGTTCTGTATAACACTTGGGAAAGGTTTGCATAGTCTGTCTGTTGTATATAACACTCAGGCAGTAGGAAAGGGTGAAGGATATAGCTGTGTACAGGTATGACACTAACTTGACTAAGCTGCCTCGGCAAAGGTTTGCATAGTCTGTCTGTCCTATATAACACTCAGGCAGTTTGAAAGGTGAAGGATGGGTGGGCATGTGTACAGGTATGAATGAATGAACTTTATTGCTCGACAGTTGTACATGGTACAATGTATGGCAACAATGACAGTTTGATCAATACAGTAAGTCTATTACAGCAAGCTGCCTTGGCAATGGTCTGCATAGACTGTCTGTTCTATATAACACTCAGGCAGTAGGAGTAGGTGAAGGATGCCTGTGGGTGGGCATGTGTACAGATATGACAGAAAGCATAGCCTGAGTACTGTCCATTGTGTATAATAGCATTTGGGCAGGAGGATAAGCATTAAAGTACAGGTATGACAAGACAGGTTTGCATAGTCTGTCTGTTCTATATAACACTTGGTTAGGATTAAAAGGTGAAGGATGGGGGATTGTGTACAGACAAAACAGCAAAGTCCAGAAAACCACCTGGCCAGACCCCACCTTCGCTATGGGGCCATCGGATAGACACTTGACTGGACAGGTCTGTTTGCTGAAACAATAAAGTACAGAGACTGCGATGTTTAGGGCACGTATGACGTAGAGACATGTTTTTTTGTATTCCTCACGTCCGGTCAAGTAGCACCTGTGCCAACAATTCGCTCTTAAACAACGCGATAATTTCAGGTGATATAAGTATGTTAGTGTTTGTTTTCTCGTTGAGAGTATGATCACTTGCATAATGCTTGCAATAATATAGAGGCAGGTATTAGACATTAAACATTAAAGATTAAAGATCATCTAGTACATGTATCATCTTTCTGAATTTAAATAAAGAATACCTGTGTTTTGTCTACTATTTGTACTCTCAGAGTGAAGTTTTAACAAAGATATCTTGCCAAGAAAGTGTAAGACATGTAGATTAAACCTTTTCTTTGATGTACAGTTAAACGTGAACCATACAATAGCCTCCTTCTTCCCCCCTGTCTCAAGTAATGTGAAAAGAAAAGGGCAATGCTCTGACCCCATGACCTAGGGCAAATCTTCAATGAGAAGTTAAGAAAAGAAGTCTTCTGGCCTCTCATGGGTCAGTGACAGGGCAGACACAAATAAGAGGTCTTGAAAAGAAGGACTTAGAGACGGTTTGGCCCCAAGGCTTATGTCTGGATGTCTGCTTTAGTAGCTTGACATGTGGGGTAAAAAAATTAACTGCTAAATGTTCTACCTTTGGTAAATGCATTGTCTGATATGTTTATTCCTGTCAAATTACAAAGTAATAGGACTTGTTTTTGAAGAAAAAGGCAGAGATCTCTAATTTGTAGTTTCTCTCCAAGTTTGAAATTACCAGTGATTTTAGGTACAGTGACTATGCCCACCAGTTTGGCTGTTATGCAATTTTGCTGACCTTGCACCTGCATACTTAAGCACCAATAGAGGTGAATCACTTAAGTGCAATAGTCGTGCAATTTCCACCTTAAGTGGTCATCCCCCACTCCAGGTGTTGTCTTAGTTACGCAGGTTGTTTTAATGTGTTGATAGTCAGTTATGTAAGTCATCATATACAGAGTAGGTTTGAGAACAACAAGGCAATTCAGGGCTTATTCTTGTAAATCTCTGTCTCTCAAGTTTTCATGGCCTTGGATTGGAACATAAATATTGCACTTCACTCAAGTTGTTACAAGCGATTGATACACAGATACACAGATTGATACAGTGTGTCGCAAAAATGAAGTATAAGGAATCAATATTTTGTGCTGAAATAATGTCGTAACAACAGGAAGGACCCAAGCATTAAGCATTTTCTACTGGAAAATAACAATCAAAGACTGCTATGAAGAAATGCACTGTACTAAATGTAGTTGCTTTTGTTTCTGTCCAAGATATAGAAAATGTCATTTTATGCTAGATATTGAACCAACAGTACTAGAAATATTCTGTGTCTTATTTTACTATACTGTGTCTTATAGCTATATTACACCGAACGACTTGTTACACCCAATCTTTGCACAGAGTTGTTTAAAGCTTTCTAGTGATGATGCTCCAACTGTGCTCGGTGGCAACGAGTTTGACTTTATGATAGTTTAATCAATAGTTCTGTTATTAATTGTTATGTCTTTGTCCTGTTCTCAGCACTACATTCCTGAGATGGACCGTGATGACATCCCGCAGGAGCTGCGGGGCAAGCGGGGCGTCATCTTCGGCAACCTGGAGAAAATCTACGACTTCCACTCCATCTACTTCCTCGCCGAGCTAGAGTCCATCAAGGTAATACTTAAATACTGATTGCCTTTATGTAATCGAGAGGACACTTTCACAGTAGCCACATTCACACCTACGTAAACTTCCTAATCCGGTCTGTACAAAAAATACAGAACTCCGACCTCCAGGTTCATCAGAAACAGAATTGTACCAGTTGTACAGATAACTTAGACTTACTTAACCTGGAGAAAATCTATGACTTCCACTCCATCTACTTCCTCGCTGAGCTAGAGTCCATCAAGGTAAATCCTAAAACAGAATTGTACAGATAACAGAAAGTTCCATGCAGAAAACTTCATCAAGGTATCACTTTTACCAAATCCTGAGACAGAATTGTACAAGTTGTACAGATAACTTAGACTTACTTAGAATAAGGAGCTTCTGTGTCTTCCAACACTTCTAGCAAGTTCTGTTGGTTGCCGTTCTCTCCCTACATTCTTCCAGTACAGATTTACTGTTTATAGGTTCTTAATTTTTTGTATTTCATCTTGGTGACTTCACCTAGAGTCTTTTCTCCCGTGGACTGTGTTTAAGCCTTGCACAGATGACGTCTCTACACATATTGAATTGTTTGGGTAAATTTTCACATCACAGAAGTGTTAGTCAGTGCAGCAATTTAGCCTTTGCCATGTCTGCCACATCATTCAGTCATTCTTTTAATCATTCATTCATTCATTCATTCATTCCCTCCTTCCGTCCCTCCAGGAGAACCCCCTGAAGCTGGCGCGGTGTCTGATGAAGCATGAGAAGGAGTTTTACCTGTACGCCCTGTACAGCAAGAACAAGCCCAAGTCTGACGCACTCATGGCCGAACATGGGAGCGCTTTCTTCAGGGTAAGGAGGTTTTCCTTGTTGTCAGTATATCTAGGCTAGATCTCTCCTTGTCATCCTTTAGCCTTGAATTTCTCTTTCTTTTCACAGTAATTTTTTCCCTATAAAGTGCTAACGTAAACAATAGCCTTGGTTGTAACATTACAGTAACACTCCTGGCTAATCATTGGTTTACAGCAACTGCAATGTTCTAACTACATGTAGAGATCCTGATGGTGGAAAGAAGATGCTGGTGTACTCTGGTTTTGAATGGCTGGAGGTTGTTGTCAGTGATCAGGCCAACCACGTTGTCTGGGAGACTGTTTCAGATGTATACTGTAGTATGTATGAAAGTTCTGCCGGTGGAGTGAGTTCTAGAGACAGAGTTTTCAAGTGGAGAGACTGTTGCAAGTTGTACGTCTAATTATGTATGGTTGGGAAGGCATGTGAAGCCAAAGTAAGAGTCTATGTCTCAGCCAAATATCTGACCTTAAGTTGTTTATTTCCTGTACAGAAGAAGCAGCGAGAGACGGGAGACAAGATGGACCTGGCCAGCTACCTGCTGAAGCCGGTCCAGAGGATGGGGAAGTACGCTCTTCTGCTGAAGGAACTCCTGGCAGAGTGTCCACAGGTGCAGGCAGAGGAGCAGGAACTGGCAGACCTCAGGGTGAGTCTGTCTGTGTGTGTGTGTGTGTGTGTGTGCTTGTGTTTGTGTTTGTGCGTGTGTGTGTCTGTCTGTGTGTGTGTGTCTGTCTGTGTATGTGTGTGTGTTTGTCTGTCTGTGTGTTTGTGTGTCTGCATTAGTTGTTAAAGGAACACATTGTAGTGTGAGGAAATGGTTGTCATGCCAAGGCTTTGACGTCTTTCTTCTTTTTTCTTTAAGACATTAACACCTCCTTCTCTCCCTTCTCCAGGCTGCTGAGGATCTGGTGAAGTTCCAGTTGAGACATGGGAACAACCTGCTGGCGATGGACTCACTACGGGACTGTGACGTCAACATCAACGAACAGGGCAAGCTGCTTAGACAGGTAAATACCTGGGCACAACACTCACCTGTTAACCTTCTACTCAGACAGGTAACAACACTCTCATTTACCTGTAGGGTAACCATTCAGACAGCTAAATACCTGGACACAACACTTAACTCTCCTTACCTTAACTTTAACATTTTAACATGGAGACTGTGACGTCAACATCAACGAACAGGGCAAGCTGCTCAGACAGGTAAACTACTGTAACAACACACCTGTCCTTACCTTAACCTGCTACTTAGACACGTAAATACCTGGACACAACACTCACCTGTCCTTACCTTAACTTTAATATTTTAACACGGACTCCCTACGCGACTGTGATGTCAACATCAACGAACAGGGCAAGCTGCTCAGACAGGTAAATACCTGGGCACACCTGGGCACAACACTCACCTGTCCTTACCTTAACTTTAACATGTAGACATGGACTCCCTACGGGACTGTGACGTCAACATCAACGAACAGGGCAAGCTGCTCAGACAGGTAAAATTTGTGTGATCTTCAGGGGGTTTCCTTTGACACTCACCTGTCCTTACCTTAACCTTCTTAATCTGTAAGGTGACCATTCAGACAGGTAAAGAAAGACCTGGGCAAGCCTTATCTTCAGCAAAAAGATGTCCTTACCTTAACCTTAAACTATAACTTGACTACTCAGACTGTTTAGCTATGTGATAGCCTTCAGAGAAATCTGACACGTACACGTACTTGACCAACCGGTGAGATACTGGTAGATAACACCTGTCTGGTCTAACAAAATCTCTTTCACTGAAACATTAAGTTCAAGTTTCAGCAAAATTAAAAGTTCTCACAAAGCTTGACTCCATATTGGCAATTTCAAAATAATATGTCTGGGATGTTTTCAGTTCCCAGCCCTTTTGATAACTGTTCAAGCAGACTCATTGGGGCCAAATACACTTAAGAAGGCTTTCATGTGGTATTGATATATTGTACCACATAGATACAAATCATTATTCAGGCCCAACCCAAAAGCAGGTCCACATTTTTACAAGTACAAACATAAGAGCTAGCTTTAATGTGGTGAGATCTAACTGATGAAGGCCCTAACGTCAAGGACAATCCTAATCAGTATTGCTCATATACCTGGTGATCTGAGAGATCATATACCATGATTGGAGACAGGACACCACATCCTCTTCCTGTCTTTGGGGTGGTCTCTTTTGTGTGGTTCTTGGTTTCCTGTTTTCCCCCTGGTTCTTCCTTCCGCTTATACCCCTGTAGAGTTTGTTAACACTTAGTGGTCGTTTCTTTACTACTATGCCCTCTTGTAGTGCTTGTATTAGTGAGTAAGAGCAAAGTTCAAGTAGGTATTGCTTCCTTCCCACTTAAAAATCGTTATTTTGCACTGCTGTTAAGCGAATTAAACATTTTTAATGTCTTTTTGTCAGTAAAATGATTTCCTTAACTTTGATTTGGACTTGGATTTAAATTTCTTGGATTCAAGTTTCTATGATTTCTGTACACTACTTATGTTTATGTTTGTGTTCTGGTGTCTGGTGCAACAAAAGTTGCAAGACACAAAAATAAAAATTCATTCATTCATTCATCAGAAGGTGTATCTATCGCAGTGACTGCGGCTTCTTCAAAAGTTACTGTCCTACTTTTGGACATCTCATGTTGACAAACCGCACATCAGAGACACTGCCCAAGTTTACCCATAAACACTAACTCCGATAACGATCTTGCCCTAATATATACACTCTGCCATTCCACCAACATAGCCTACATTGTGGAACCGTGTTTGTATCAAAAACAGGCAAATCCTTTACAAAATGGAGAAAACAATCACAGTATTTCTGGTATCTGGAGTTATGTACATGCATTTGTGACAGCAGTCTCTTAATTCCTAAGGCCACATCAATTTAGTTTGTTGGTTACCAGACACTTTTATGTAAAATTTTGGCAAGAGGATATCACGAAAACAGAAGATTGGGGCGAAAACATGAAACTGACTCTGTTCACCTTCTGAAAGATTCAGAGTGGCAAACTGTACTCCTTTTAATGTAGTGGACTAACTCCCCCTGGCATGTTATCTGTCTGTTTGGCCAATTTCTACTTCTTCCAGCCACCTCTAAAGTCTTGTAGGGGCTAGCAATAGTACAAATGTATCTATGTAACAACTTTGTGTTAGTTATCTTTTAGTAAGTTAGGGTCGAAAACTTATCTAACATTTTGTTCTTTTCTTCTGCAGGATGAGTTTCTGGTCTGGCAGGGGAGGAAAAAGTTCTTCCGTCACGTGTTCTTGTTCGAGGACCTGATTCTGTTCAGCAAGACCAAGAGAACCAGCGGTGGTCACGACGTCTATCTGTACAAGAACAGCTTCAAGGTAAGACTGCAATCCAGCTCCCGAACGTCTGTTTTGCTTTCTGTTGTCTTGTCTTGCATGGCAAGAAGCCATAGGCACCGCTACCTTAATTGTATACTCTCTAGTTCTCACAAGTTCTCTAAACACTTGGCCAGCCTTATATTGGCATACTGCTTGCACACTGCAGTATATGCTGCGTCACAGCTCAGCAATGCCTCCTAGCACTTTGTATAGGTACTGCAGTAGTCTGCTTATCGGGGCACTAGTAGTACCTGTTGCTGTAGCACCTGATCCTTGTCTCTAAGCACTTAGCCATATGTAGGCAACTGCTTGCACACTGCTGTGTATACTGCGTCACAGCTCAGCAATGCCCCCTAGCACTTTGTATAGTTACTGCAGTATCCAGCTACTATTACCTGTTGCTTAAGCACCTGATCCTTGTCTTTGCTGCTATGGTGTTTTCTGCACTGTTCTGTCTTACCTAGGGACCGTGCATTATTCATGGCTAGCTGGGATGGCAAACAAGACCCTCCCCTGCCTGAATAATTAACGCACGGTCCCTCTGAACTCTTCTTCCCTATTTTTGTCCCTTTCCAGACTACGGAGATTGGGTTGACCAATCCGTTCAACCGTGTTTTACAGAGCACAGAGGTCGGTCTCACGGAGACGATCGGTGAGAGCGGGTTCAAGTTTGAGATCTGGTTCCGTCGAAGGAAGCCTGGCGAGACGTACGTGCTTCAGGCGCCGAACCAGAGCGTCAAGGACGCCTGGGTGGACGAGATCACCAAGCTGCTGTGGAAACAGGCGTGCAGAAGTAAAGGTAGGTTTGCCTGGTGTTAGGGCATCATGTCGGCAGAACGTACTGCACCTGTGAGAAACCTGTAAATGTATTGTGCATCACACTTTGGCAGAACTTCTCATATAACGTTGTAATTACACATATATGGTTGACACTCGCGTCTGTAGTTTCCAAATGTTATATCGGAAAAGATATTGTCTGCCACAGGCAAAATTCTGATGTAAGGTTGACCAAAACTCCAACGAAAATCGTGAAAATGGGGGTTCCGCGCAGGCGCGGTACGTTCTGCCAACATGCGGGTGTTAGGGCCATGTAGAGTTGGTTAATGCAGTTAGGCCACATCAATTTACTTTCTTGGGTCTCGGATTGAAAAGATGGGAAATTAACGTGGAAGCAAAAGTCTAAGGAGAAACACACAGTTGTCAGGTGTACAGGAACTGTTCGCTTCAGCCTTCTGTTTTTGTGATCTCCTGTTGCCAAAATTTTACCTAAAAGTGTTCAAGAACCAATGAATGAAGTTGATCTTGAATGAAATTGATGTGGCCATATCTTAAGTGTAAAAAAAAGTAAATCTACCCTCCTTTGCCTTTATTAGTAGTAATTCTTTTAGTAGCACTGACTTCAAGTTTTCTACTGTAGTTGATCTGTTGTTTGTTTCATCAGGACCTCCTGGGTTTTGCACAATTGACTGCACTTGCTGAACTTTTGCATTGACTTGCACATGTAGCATTGAATTCCTACAATTTGTAAATTGCAGTGCACTTTTTTAGTTCTGATGGTGAGGAAGTTGCCACATTTTGGCAAATCTGTTGCCACATTTTGTCAAATTTTGTTGCCACATTCTGGCAAATTTATTACACCAAATAGCCAGAAATATTCCAAAAGAGCAGATGTAATGTAACCCCAGAACCTGAGGTGGTCCACTCTGGTTTATGCTCTCCTCTCACCTCCCTTCTTCCCTTCCTTCCTTCCCATCCGTCCGTCCGTGCCTGTGTGACAACAGAGCTGAAGCAGATCGAGCTGGCCTCCATGGGAATCGGCAGCAAGCCTCATCTGGACATCAAACCCAGTGGCAACCAGATCAGTGCGCGGTCCATCGACTATGTCATGCGGGGTCGAGGTAAGCAAACTTCACCCCCACACAGTGCGCAGAAGGTGCAAAAACAAGTGAAAACGAAAGAAAAACAAGAGAAAACAGAAGAAAAAGAAGTGGAAAGAAAAGTAAAGGAGTGAAATGGAACGAAATTCAAAGCAAAAAGCAACATAGAACACCAGTACTTTTTGCATGATATTTCGTTCCATTTCGGTTGTTTTTGCTTGTTTTAGCACTTTCTGTACACCCTGACTCCGCTCTGCTTACTATAGCTAACACTGGGCACTACAGGCCACACTGAGTTATTCCTCGGACATTTAAAACTGAAAAGTGTGGCCAGTAGCCAGTGTTATCTGTCCGAAAATTGTCCTGTAATTAATTGACACTTCTGAAGTGGCAGAGTTTCTTCTCTACTAAAGATAAGGATTGCTTTTGTAGAAGAAATTCTGCCACATTCCTTGTCATGTTGTAACTGTTCCATACACATCATGCCTTTACATAAGGGAAGAGAAAGGTTTTCCTTTGACGATCATATCTCTATATTTCTTACTGCTGCGTTAGTTAGGAGTTTATTTCTTTTTGTTCACAACACTATACACCTTTAGCATGGTAAAAAATTAGAGGGCACCCAAACCATGTCATAATCTTTATGATAAGAAAAATCCACACATTTCTAAGGATATAGGCTTTGAGAAGTAACACATTGCTTGTGCTCTCTTATAGTACAATGCATGAACCTTCAATAATAGGTTACACTTTTAACATTTCTGTAGTCTTCCTGCAGTACAATTACCAAGCTATAGGAGTCTCTCTCTTTCCTTTCTGAATTTTCATTTTCCTGCAGTACCATTACTGAGCTATAGATGTCTCTCTTTCCTTACTTTCTATATCATTTCATCTTTCTGCAGTACCATTACTGTGCTATAGGTGTCTCTCTTTCCTTACTTTCTGTATTGTTTCATCTTTCTTTCTCTCTTTTCTTCTCCCCTTTCCTGTTCTGTTCTACTATCCTTCGATCCTTTGCTCCAGAAGACTGGGAGAGCTATCCGACGCCCGTGGTCTGTCGCACAGGCCTGGCCACCCCGTCTCGAAGTAAACGGTCCAAATCAGTTCCGCAAAACGCTCTAGAGAAAGCGCTAGAGAAAGCACGTAAGGCTGACTTACAACACATCCATCCTGTCTGCAACTGACTCGTCTTCCCTAACTCTGACTCTCAGCTTGTCCATTTGCTTGGTCATGCTGCTTCACCCACAAAAAGCAGCTACTTTGACTGAAAGTTTGAGGCATTTCAATCTAATGTTTGTTTGCTGGTGACTATCATATGGAATGCCAGGGTTAAGGTTTGAGTCCGAGCAATAAGATGTGTTCGAAGTCCTGAACAACAGAATGCTTTTGTTGCACGATCTGAATGCATCTAAATCTTTAAAATGGTCTTACATCTTTGACATCTGAAACTGTCATTTTCTGTAATATCCAATAGAAAATTTGGACCCAAGTTTTTGACTGTGTGATCAGTGGTCGAAATACTTTTTTTCAGTGCTCTGCAGTATTGCAGAAGAGTCAAAATTTTGTTCTGCAATTTGGAAATACTTTCTGCAAATACACAAGCCTTCATACTACAATCTTGCAGGTTTATAAGCATGAACTATTGATTGATATGCAAATTAGTGAAGACAACTTTTTGAAGTCCAAAAAGAAACAAAAGATACTATTAGACAAGTCAAGACAAGGTTGATGCAAATTAGTGAAGAAGCTCCTGTTGTTTCAGAATAGGAGCTTAAGTGTTGTCTGTCCTTGGGGCCAAGAGCGCCAAATCCCAAGTGCCAATTTTTCCTGCTGCAAAATTGCAGATTGTATAAATTTTTCTTCTGCAATCTTGAAAATCTATCTGCAGATTGCAGACTGCAGACAGGTATTTCGAACACTGGTGATGAATTCTGCAACAGATTCTTCCACAATATCAGGGTCGGTCTGTACATATTTTTAACTATTATCAAATATCTGTATGCTTTCTTTTATATGGGGGAGTGATGCCTGAAATAAAGAATAAACATTAATTTGTTCCCTGCTTGTGTGTTTTCCCCACCTCAGGAGCGAGAACGAGGAACTCGATCGCTGTGCCGTCGTTCGAGCACTCGCCGTCGCTGAAGCGGCCGCACTCGCTCATCTCCACGTCCTCCAGCTCCTCCAGCAGCACGCAGACCTCCTCCATCCTGGGCGGCCTCGCGCTCGCCAACTTCGACATCCCGTCATCGCTCATGGAGGCAGACGAGGAGGAGATCAACATCAGGACCTCTCTCAGTGAGTTTCTTCTCTGTATGTTTGGGATGGACTTGCTGTTTGAGCTGTCAATTGAACCTTTGAAGGCACTGTGTATTGGAAAAAATCTCATGTGACCAGTTTTTCCTGTGTACTGGCATGTATATGGAATGTGGTTTGTGCAAAGTCAGTGATTGGAATTACTAATATCTTTACTCCATGCATTTGTGCATAAAACACTGTTATACACCAAAAAAGTTACTCTGGCAACTGGAATTGTTGTTTTATGTATCATATCACCTTGATGTCTAACAGTTGCTTGAGTAAATGTTTTTTTGGCATATTTTATTACCTGGATGTCTAACCTTCACCAACATAAGACAGTGTTTTCTTTGGCTGTTCTGAATGTGTTTGACGCAGGGCCACTGATTTCCTGTTGACCTTTCTGAATGTGGTTTGTGCTGAGGCACTGATTGACTGTTGGACTATACAGAAATTGTTCAAAGCCACTGATTGGGTGTTGACTCTTCCGTGTGATTTGTATGAAGGCACGGAATGTCATGGCACTGATTGGCTGTTGAGTGTTTGCACCTGACTGTGATTGGCTGTTGACTAACGCTGTGCTGCACGTTGTTGCTGCATGCAGGGCCCAACAGCACGGGAAGCTCCTCCACAGACGGCAGCATGAGCGTGTATAACTCTGACGGCCGGACACCAAGCCGGTCCTCCGTTGAAACCTCCAGTGACTCTGTTCCTTCCACCAACGCCATGTCTCCTTCATCGTCCTCGCTGATGCCTCCAGCTCCGACAGACGCTCCGTTCGTGACATCGCCCCCCTCCCCACGCACACAGAAGAAAACTGGCAGCCATTTTGTCACAGCTGTAAGTAGTAGTTCAACCTTGAACTCTAAGTTATATTCCCTACAGTTATAAAGTAAGGAATCTAAGGATGCAAGCTTAGAAAGGCTTTAGGAAAACTTGTACATAGAAGAAAATTGGCAGCCATTTTGTCACAGCTGTAAGTAGTAGTTCGACCTTGAACTATAAATTATATTCCCTACAGTTGTAGAGTAAGGAATCTAAGGATGCAAGCTTAGAAAGACTTTAGGAACACTTTAAGCTCACAGAAGAAAACCGGCAGCCATTTTGTCACAGCTGGAAGTAGTTTGACCTTGAACTCAGTCAGTCATATTTCCTACAGAGAAACAACGCAAGCTTAGAAAGACTTAAGGAAAACTTGTAGTGTAGTGTTTCAATTAAAAATTCCCAGAATCAAAAGGCTTTCATCTTCAGTAAGTGGAAAGTGAGCATAGTTATTGGTACAGATATGTAGTTGTAGTTATGATTACTTGCTGCTGGTTTCGAGCTATTTTGCAAAACACACTTGCTATCACGTAATAGCTGTATACTACTAGCTTGTTACTTCATATGTAGTTAACTGTTATCAACATTTGTTGTTCTGTTTTCTGTCTGTATTTACTGTAGTAACTCGAGTAACCATCATCACCATCCATGTTCCGTTCTGTGTATTTAGCAGAGAGCACTGTCTCTAGCATAGCATGGTTCACCCACACTGCAATGTCACGCATAACCCACTACCAAGGAAACACCCCCCACCCCCTTTAGATTTTCACTACTTTCTCTACGTAGTAGGAAGCTACCACTTTTTCTTGGAGGGATGTGGGTCTAACATCTACTTCACAGCTCCCCCATTCCACATTCTCTTTTGGAACGTCCCGTTTTCAAAGTTCTGTCTTATTGTCTGTGTCATTGCGCACTCTAATAACGCATGCCACTGACTGACCAGGAATTCAATTCTCCCTAACCCCCTCAGGCCAAAACCTTCTTTGGGATTCAAAGAAAGTAACGGTTTGGTGTCCGCCATTTTACTCGGGGTGAGTCGCACAACACGTTGTCTCAGTTTTTTGTGGTTTGTCTGGTTGTTGTATGTGCCCTAACCACCCCTAAATGCATGCCCCCCTATTTCCACAATGGAATATGCCTTGACTGTTGGAATGGATGTGAGGATGTCGGGTGGGGAGAAGTTTTTGGGGTAGCATTTGCATTTGACCTTGTAACCTTCAACTTGATGTGCCCCCCTCCCCCTTCCATGTAGAACATGTCAAACGTGAATACCACAAGTCAATTTTTCTCTAATAAAACAACAGAAAAGGATTTCTGAAAATTCAGTGGCAGAGAAAAGATGCTTTCTTGTGGTATGGTATACAAGAATGTTCCCTGTGTAATGTCAAGATTTGCAAAAGTTGTTCAGATCAGCCCAATCCAAATACAGGAGTGTTTCCATGGTAGAAGGTGATGTTGCATTGCAGCTGGGACTTGACTGTGAAAACTGAACTAACAAAACAGTTTCTCACAACGGTTTTGTCTCTTTATTTGACTTGGAAATAACAACAAAAGAACTTTTTAACATCAGCTTTTTAACATTTCGAATCACGATCGATCATATCTAAAACATGATCAATAAATATGTGACTTTCAATGATGAATCAGTGATCTTCAATTAGACTTTTAATTTTGTCTAATGCCAGTTGGATAATGTCAGTAGACATAATACAGGTTACGTGTAGTTAGGTGATAGGGTGTATGATAATGAAGATATCATGGCATGTTGTTAGTAACTAACCGGTCCCATTTCTCCACTATCTCCACAGGTATGACTATAGGAGTGACGTAGTAAGCTGTCGTGTGAAACAGATGCTTCTCCGTAGCGCTAACCAACCGGCAAATGGCGTAGACGTCTAACACTGGAGTGGTCCTGCCTCGTTCGTTTGTTGTCGCTTCAGCAGCGCTTGTAGTCACGGCAACAACCGTAACCGTAGTAACCCTCCTCCGTACCTGCTCCATCCTCCAGATGCGAGACGGGGCCTCCGGAATTCGGAACTGCGACGACCGATTCCTTGGGAATCCCTCATGATTCGTTGTTGGGCGTTGAAGACTTACTTGAGGAGCGGGGAAGGAAACTTACACAAGTGTGGCGGCTTGAAGTGTGTTGGACTTGCCTGGAGCAAGACGTGTGTGTGTTTCTTTATGGAAGTTCTGGACTCTGTGGAACAGAGAGAGCTTCGCAGCTGCATTCAGCGATATGCACAGACTTTGCGTTGTAACAAAACGGCATTTCAAACAAACAAACAAACAACGACATCAACAAATAAGCCACAGAAGGAAAAGTCGACGCAACTTATTCCTAACCCTACTGTTCATTAACAAGGTTACCCAGCCAAACAACGAGCTAGCCATGTACTAAAGAGTGTTCACAGCAATAACAGACAAAAACTGTCCCTGGATCGGATCGCCATGGAAACTGATCTCCATGGTAATGACATTGCCATGGTAACGACACCGCTGTACATATGTGAATAGTCCTGACAATCAGGTCGTACATGTAGTTACGCCCGGGTCGCCAAACGTGTAGATATTATGTAAATCAACCTTTATTTAATTATTCTATTTTATCATTTTTGTATTCTGTGACTGTGAGCCATGCATAAGACTCATGTTACACAGGGGAGGATTTGGGCCTTGTGACCTGCATGCTTTGTTGGTACACTAGTATTGTAATTAAGGAGAAAGTAAATGTGCCTTAAAGTAAGGACGAGTCAGCATTGGAATTACTTCGCCGTATCTTGTGTAGAGTGCTAGCAGTGAAAGAGTTTTCGATGCATTGTACTAAATTGCTGATCATGTCTCATCATGTTTTTTGAGGATTCAATTTTTCTGCTTGTTTCTCGATTCCCACATCTTGCCATCGGTAGCCAGAAGGCTCTAACATGACATGTGTGCTCTCCTAGCGCTCTGCTTTCCAGGCTAACTTTGAGAAGTACATGTATGAGTACGTAGTGTGAGTTACATGCTGGTAGTCAGATTCAGACCATAGCCTTTTTGTAAGGAGCAAACTTACTACTTAGCAGAGGAGGGACTGTTGCAATGTTCCCGTAGAAGGGTGGCCTCAGACAGGCCACTAGCAGAGATTCTTGTACAGCGAGGGGAAATATCTATATATTTAATGTTATGTACAGGAAAAGTGTGTATTATAAAGTTCACTAACAGCTGTATGTCGGAACAGGCAGCCTAGAACAGTTTTGTAAAACCCTTTGTCAAACTTTATGCGATGGTGGACACAAGTTTTTGAGATCTGCACTGCTTTTGTCAACATTTACAATGGTTTTGCTCAGTTTGGAATTGAAACAATCACATGGTTGTAAGAAAGGTTTCACCCCTTTAAAAATTTGCTTCTGTGTGGCACACTTTTCAAGCATGAAGGCAGTGCAGGTCTCAGAATGGATGTTCATGTTTGCCCAAGATTTCAATGTACCATCAGCTTGTCTCGAAGAACTGTGAAGATTTGACAAAGACATTAGTAGATGCCCAATGAGGTACATCATTGCTGTTAGCATGTCTGAATTCATAACAAACATGCTGAGATTCTGTCAGTCTGTGTTCGCACTGGTCACTCTAAGTAGGAAAGCCATTGCAAGACAACTAAGTACAGTCAATTCACATCATCATTGAATAAACTTTCAATCTTTCATATTATCATATGCTGATGTCTCTGTAAGTCTCAACTTCAAGATTATGTTACTGAATCTCGAATGTCTGTCCTAACGTAGAGTGACCAGTGTTGGCAGGATTTTTTGCCGTCATCTTTGTACTTTAGGAGGTCAATGCAGACCATACAAACCACCTCTGGTAGAGACACACCTGGCCTTGGTTTCATCTCCAAGCAGATAAAAGAATCAGTCAGTGTTTAACACATGTTTTTGCAACATGTAGTACATTGTGTATGTCTATCTAGGGTGGAATAGTAAATGGAGACCTGGATACATAGAAAAGACCAGAAAACAATCTTGACTGACATATCTGCTTGGAGATTAGCCTCTGTGTCAAGTGCAGTCTTACAATAAACCAGAGTAGACGTTTTCTGTAGAGTAGGAACCATCCGCACACAACGTCTGCACAATCATGGTTCACGGAATTCTCGCACAAAGAGTAAGGTTTCTCAATCAGTCGAAATCTAACTTTAAGAGTGCCACTGAAAATCTCGTCACCCAGAATTAATGTATCACCGTGAATGTATGGTCATTTCTGTTCTCAATGATTCTATGCTACCTACTTAGTCAAAACAGAAAGATCAGTAGCAGTAATGTAATCCTATGTCTTCTGGCAACCTTTTTCACATCCTGTGCTAAGGCTTATTTGTCCAGTTTTTCATGTACAAAGTAGTTGACTAATGAAGTACAACGTGATTTAGCTCTGTTATGGAAAAAACGTCGCTAATGTTTGTAATCATGTTCACGCCATCTGTAATTAATTAAAGTCGAAGCAGTTTATTCTTTGCAAATAAACGAGCACCCAGTGCTCTGTAAGGTATGGTGTGTTTGAATGGATTTTTTTTCTCTTTCATGAGTTTATCTATGTCAGTTTCAATCTCGGACATACATTTGGATAATTAGAGAAATTATATAAAACATGAATTCATCACAACTCCCAAAAGTTGAATGCTCATACCTTTGTACTCTCCAAGCATGTAACATTGCATGCCTTACAACATTGATTTTCAGACAGTGTGTATTGTATACCGAAGTAGCTCTAATCTCCAAGCAGATCATACGGTGGCAAGTCATCCATTGGCCAATGAATTCGATCAATACTGCCTTGCCACCGTATGATCTGCTTGGAGGTTATAATAGCCTCTTGTCCCTACCCAGAGCCTCCAAAAAATGAGAGGTGATCTTCCACCTTTCTGTTCACCGAGCTTGATCGCAGACTTCGAACATACAGAAGCTGCACTGCTCCCCTTGGTAGATCATATAGAAACTGCAGGGCGGAGACAGTCTTGATTATGGCAGCAACGTCATGATCATTGGCCATGCCAGCCAACATGTCTGGGGTATGACGATTAACTCCTGGCGATTATCACTTCAAATCCGGTTCATTCAAGGACATTTCAAAAATGTCTGATTCATTCCATTGCAGTGTGTGCATGTGTGATGATGCCGGAGATATCTTCATTGTGCCAATGAACTTAAAATCTGGAAATAACACTATAGCTAGTGCACGTAAGCCAAATAATATTGACTTCGAGTTGTACATCAGATTGTTTTTTGTCATACACACTTCCTAAACAATAGGTTGGGACAGTCCATCCTCACTTCGAGACAATTGAAATTTACTTAAGGGACAATTCTGGGTCAATTGGGAAAACAGTTGACTTCTAGGCCTGAGTGTCCGTTCTCTACATGTCTGTTCTCACTACTGGCTGGTATTTGACTGCAAAGACATCTACAGGAAGAAAATATGCACAGACAGAGACACAAACAGGTAAGACAAAGCCGTAATATCTTCAAATATGATATGGTTTATTGTCCTTGCGATTCTATGGTTTGTAACCTGCTCCATTGTAGATTGAATGTTTGAAGTAAGTGCGTCATCTGACAGCCTTGCCTTCGTCATTTCTACTCAGGCCGATCTGATCTCCCCTGGCTCTACGTACTTACGTAATAACGTCACAGTGGACTCGTGTTGCACTGCTTAAACATCAAGTTCCGTTAGATCTTTACATTCCATTAGCGGTCGAGTCCATGTATGTCTGGTGTAATCCTAGCTTAAGCTTTATCCTGGATGTCTTGTTTTGTAACAACCACATGTGGCGTGTGTTACTAACTTACACTTGAGTTTCTCCTATCCATGACGTGTTCTAACAATCCTGCGTTTTTAATCCTGGCTTCTTGTGACAAACGCCTATAGTCTTGTACGTGTTATTCTTTGGATAGCCTGGAGCAGAGGGGAGCGTTTCGCTCACTCAAAATCGATATATTCTGAATCATATTTCTTTATACATTATTCAATTGACAAAGATAACAAGACACACGGGAAGTCCTCGAACAACGACTGTCAAAGAAGTTCCCAAGTCATTATCACACTTCACACAGTTGGTGCCTTTGTTGACATCAAAAAGACAAGATCTTTTTTCTTAAAACGGTAACATTTGACAGAATAGCAAAGTTCTTTTTTCACAACCACTTGTTTAACAAAAGCCGACGTTTCGATGACCATCTGTCATCTTTATCAGGGCAATAAAGACTTGTGCACTGAACCTAGGTGTTACTGGTTCACTGCACTCAAACTAGGTGCTACTGCTAACATCGCAAGCAAAGAGGGTGCCAATGCAAGTGGTTGTGGATGAAGAACTTTTTGCTCTTCAATTATTCAATTCAATCACCAACCTGATGAAATTATTCACGGATGCAACCTTTGACAGTCAACTTATTAGACGACATGGAATAGTTCTGATTCGTCCCGATGTTTGTGAGTCCTGTTCACGAAGTACGCTGGTGTTGTTTGGTCATTCAGCGGTGCCTACCTGCCCGCTCTCGCCATCTCCCTCTCCCACCGATGCCGCCGGCCTCTAGCTGAGGTCCCGTCGCTTCCTGCCGCGAAGTCCCAGCCTCTGGATCTCGGCTAGCCAGTCGTCGGTGCCGCGCGGAGGCGCGAAGCTGTCCCCCGCGCGGTCGACCTCATCCTTCGCGAATCCCCGGTGATGAACACTCTCAGCAGCTGCCCGGATCATTCTGAGGGAAGGTGGCGGATGGACCACGCGGTGGTCTGTACCGGCCCCGTTGGCGATCTGACCGAGGGAACCGTGGTCGTACAGCCGGAGGAGGTCTGCCAGCGCCCGCAGACTTGTTGGCGTGTAGCCGCTGGCGGCGGGGAAGAAGTCGTCGTCGTCGTTGCGGAGGTCGGTTCTGGTCATCTGAAGATTGAACGGGAAGGCGGCCTCTCCGCCGCCGGCCAGCACCTCTCGCAGCCCCTCCGTCCGCCCGAACCTCTGCGGCCGCCAGCCCTGCTCATCCCGCCCCCTGCCGAAGCGGATCGGCCGCCAGCCGTCCTTGCCGGTGTCCCCCCGGGCGCTGCGGCCGAACCGCTGCGGGCGCCAGGCCTCATCCCACCGAGAGACCTTGTAGGTGGTGCGGGAGTCCGCCGGCCGCGTGGCTCCGGCCGCGGTCAGCAGGAACGGGAAGAGCGTGGATATCCAAGTCAACACCACTAACGTGCGCATAGCGTTTTCTGAAACAAACACACAGAAAAGAGAGAAGTGAATATTTGTTGACTCTCACCAAGAAGGTTTGATTTTAAACCTCCTTGCCCTCACACGGAGAAAACATGACATATGGGCAATGCATTCTACATGTTGACACAGCCCCACGACACCACTAACGTGCGCATAGCGTTTTCTGAAACACACAGAAAAGAGAGTAGTGAATATTCGTTGAGATCTCACACGAAGAAGACATGACACATGGGCAATGCATTCAACCAAGACACAGTCCCACGCATGGAGCGCATAGAGTTTTCTGAAACAAACACACGAGAAAGGACAGAAGTGAATTGTACAATTCTACCACACGGAGAAGACAAGACATATGGGCAATGCATTTCACCAAGACACAGTCCCACAACATAGAAAGAATTCAAAGACAAGCTTAAGCCTTTAGAGTCATCATTTGGCGACACCACCTTTCGTATTCTGACGCGCTTGAGCACCTACGACTCCAACGTCTTTCTGAACGCAGACTAAAAACGTACATGCACTGAGTGACGTTGCCCTTGTAGTTGTAGATCGCCTAGATTTGCAACCGCCTTTTGTTAAACATTTATTGTTACCCCTGACCTATATTCTGTACGTAATTTGCCACATGCATATAATCTGTACGTAGGATGGCGATATTCATACACGGTTAGATCTTTAATTGTAGAAGACCATACAAAAGTCCCTGTACTTTATGTTGAGTCAATAAAGAATCATGTATTCTGACCGCCATAGCACATACGACTCTGTACGTTTTCGGTTTGCGTTCAGAAAGACGTCAATGACTGACTTTCCCCTTGCAAGCTTTCAGTGTGTGGGTCGCCTAGCTTTGCATCCTGGCTACCTCCGACCACAGCCGTCAATACACACTACCTACTGGGATCAAACGATACCTTTTAGCCCCATTCTATAACTTTTTAGCAATCCTAAAACACTCAAAACCACTTTTGTAAATGTTTTAAAAATCTGACATAATGTGTCTTTTAACCACTTTGTGTTTAAACCTGCAGCTGCTACAATGCTTTTAACCCATAGTGGAATGTAAACCAGTCTACATACATTCAGATCTTGGTCAACATTTGCTTTCCGGGATACTAGTACACTAGTATTGTGAGTGTAGCCATAGCACGCTAGGCCTACTAGAGTTAACCAGCATCTAACTGATGGGGCTGTGGTATAATTTCCTTGGATGAATGTTGGCTATGGAGCCGAGGGACTGGCCTGTGTAGGTCTGGCACCCAGGCTTGAGTACTGGACCGAATTTACCTTCTGGCATGCAGGCCAACTACTGTTAGCCTCTACCAGGCCTCGGGAGGCGGCTGGAAAGAGTAGAAATCGGCCAAAATAGAGAGATATCATGCCAGGGGAGTTGGTTTGCTGGAGAGAACAGTTTGCGGCAAACTGTACTCTCCAGCAGACCAACTCCCCTGGCATGATATCTCTCTATTTTGGCCGATTTCTACTCTTTCCAGCCGCCTCCCGAAGCCTGGTAGAGGCTAGCTAGCTGTAACAAAACTGGGGATCGTGCCCAACAAAGACCTGCGCCCACAAAGCTTTGTGGCATCGGCCGCTAAAACCTCGGATCTTAGGAAGCTAGCTGTAATCATGGCTGAAGGCACAGAGGACTAACCCGGGTTACAAGTCATGTTTCTGTTACGCACCTCGGTAATACGGCACGTACGCCACGCTAAGTAAATGTCACGAACCCACGGAAAGCCCCTTACACCAGGGTCGCCACCTTAGATATTAATTACAAAGTACTTGAGGGAAAGGTTGCCCTTTTTTCCAAAGCCCCTTACACCAGGGTCGCCACCTAAGATGTAATTACTAAGTTCTTGTGGGAAAGGTTGCCCTTTTTTCCTTCTTGTGGAATTCTGCTTCCATTTCTACAAAGTGACGGTAACCTTTTCAGAAGGGAAGATACCAAAAGTCGGAAGAAACCACATACCAAAGTCGGGGTTATTTTAAAGTCATGCGGTACCAGAAAGCAGGAGGACTAAACTATGCGTACAGCAAGGCTGAAAGGTGACTCCTTGGTCAGGGACATCCAGGTCGCACCCCATTAGAGGAACGAGATGCACTGAACCCGGCGAGAAAAAGACGCAAAAGGAACGCGTAACGGTTTGGCCTTGGTATTTGCATGGAAGTAGAAGAGCTCCAAGATATTTGGGCGCAAAACACAAATGTTTCGGCAAGACGCATAAGAACATGGCCAGAGAAATATCCCCCGTTTCCCGCATTGAAACGTTGAAGCTTCGGAGACATCCTTTTCGATTCTACCGGTACAATTTCATTTTATACCTACTCTGGCTACCCGGCCGATGTCAATAAACACATGGTATCTGTATGGCCGGTCTAACCACCCTTCGGCGTAACACACCAGCTTCTGTATCTGTATGGCCGGTCTAACCCCCTTTCGGCGTAACACACCAGCTTCGCAGGCACGCGGCGCGGCGGCAGCTGGCTGTATTACACCGAACCACCTCAAGTAACACCCAGCCTTTGCACATCTAACTACACACAGTGAACTACAAGCGTTTTTAAAAGCTATCTAGCGCCCATTGTGTCTTGTCATCGACCCCTTAGTAAAGCTATAGCTCGGTATGCAGCATGGAAGGGTCTAAGTGGCGTAGCCGCAGAGTGCTCGACTCGGAACCAAGAGGTCCCTGATTCGAATCCTGACATGCCGACTTTCCTCACTAACTCAAGTGAAAATGAGTATCGTCCTGTCCCGTATTTGTCCTCTGCGTTGGTGACGGCATAAAATATAAGTCGATATAACTTGAGTGTGCCGTCACCATGTCCAGTCATGAAATGTTGGCATAATAAAAGTCTAAACCTTACCAGCCAAACAGCTTAAGAAGCCTTGTCGTGCGGAACTTGCGAGCGTCTGTCCTCCTGCGCTGAACAACAGCCTCATGACTACTGTACACGCAGTTAACACATTGTTTCTGTATCTGTTTAGCCGGAATAACCACCCTTCCGTGTAACGCATCATCTCCGTAGGTACGCGGCGCGGCGGCAACTGGCTGTATTACACCGATCCACCCAACCTCAAGTAGGACCCAACCTTTGTACATCTAACAACACACGGTGAACTACATGCGTTTTAAAGCTACTAGTATCTAGCGTCAATTCATTCTTGGCATCGACTCTCTCGTAAATCTATAGCTGGGCATGCAGCAGGGAAAAGTCTAAACCTTACCAGCCAAGCAGCTAAAGAAGCCTTGTCGTGCGGAACTTGCGAGCGTCTGTCCTCCTGCGCCAAGCGGCAGCCTCATGACTACTGTACTCGCAGGAGAGGCGGCCGGTATTTAACCACACCTACAGAATAGCGGGGGAGGCGCACACGTGTGCACATCTGACGGTACAGGAACCACGCGAACAGAACTGACGATGGGCAATTGCCGGGGTTCTCTGAATCGAAGACGACTCGATGGTTTTCAAGAGAACTTTGAATGCCACACGTGAATCATTGAGTAAAGACGGGTTGAATTGTTCTCTGTTTTGATGACTCACGTGAACATGAACACACAGTAGTGTACTTCTTTTCATGTGCTTTTTAGTAATATTATAAAAACGCGTTGTGTATCGGTGTATGAGAGTAAGTTCGCGGAACTTCCGTCGCTTTGAATGCCACACGCGAATACTTGTGTAGTAACGTGTATACTTGTTCTCTGTTTTGATGGCTCACGCGAACTGTATTGTATTTCATTTCAACTGCTCTATCAATGTAAAAAAACGCATTGTTTCGGTGTATGAGAGATGAGTTCACCGGTACGGGGTTCTCTGAATCAAAGACGACTCAATGGTTTTCAAGAGAACTTTGAATGCCACACGTGAATGTTTGTGCAGTAACGTGCAGAATTGTTCTCTGTTTTGATGGTTCACACGCAGTACTATACTTCTTTTCATGTGCTTCATCAATGTCAAAAACACATTTTGTTTCGGTGTATGACAAGTGAGTTCGCGGAACTTCAAGTCGCCTTGAATGTCACACGTGAATGATTGTGTAGCGGCGTGAAGAGTTGTTACCTGCTTTGATAACTCACGGAAACGTGAACACGCAGTATTGTATTTCGTTTCATCTGCTGCTTTATCAATGTGAAAAAAAAAACGCATTGTTTCGTACGAGTATCGGAGGTGGGTTGTGCAGCCGCGTGATCCGGGATTAGGAACGAAAGACCCGCGTGTTGGTGACGATGCTTCCATTGACGCCAAACAGAAAACAATAGGCTTAGTAACAGCGCTAACGTAGGTGCACTTGACTACCAGATTAGCCTGGAATCCACCCGTCAACGCTGTGTCTCCGCTCCGTTCTTCCGCTCTGCCTTCAACGGAGCGGAGACACAGCGTTCACGGATGGATTCCAGGCTAATTTCAGGCCTTTTTGCCGAATTCTACAATCCGTATTCCCGTAGAAAGGCCTGGTGGAGGCTAATGGCGATCGCACGTATTGGTCAGGCAGTCTGCAACCCAGCACCAGGACATTAGATCCAGTTCATCTCATCTTAGTACCGTGATACCGCGCACGAGCTCGCTATCATGAAGAACGATTTTTTTTACATCTCCGTCTTCCGACTAAACCGTTTCTAAGTAGTCAGAAATTTTGAGATTTTCCCGGTCGTCATCATCGCTGTTCACCGTCTGCTATTTCTTAGAATGGGAAATTGAAGGGCAAAGTCACAAGGGGAATACATGACTAATAAACTGGTGGATGTCCCAACTACTAAGTACCTAATACCAGCCCAGAAGAGAACAAGAAATAGCCACGCATTCAAGTACCAGAGTTATCAACCAAGGATTGAGGTGTTCAAGAATTCATTCTTTCCTAGAACTATCGCAGAGTGGAACTCGCTGTCACCAAGTACAGTAGGGGCATTGTCAATAGATAGCTTTAAACAATGTCTAGAGCTAGAAGTTCAAGGGTTAGGTGTAACAAGTCGATCGGTGTAATATAACCAGCTGCCGCCGCGCCGCGTGCCTGCGAAGCTGGTGTGTTACGCCGAAAGGCGGTTATACCGGCTATACAGATACAGATACAGATACAGATTTGTACTGTTCATAACGACTGTTTAGCATGTCATTATACAACCACAATCTACGGTGATTATAAAACTGATGAGGTATGAAGCATTGAATACTCCCTGACAGATGTCCTTCCTTAACCCCGATTGCTCTGTTGCCATGGTAATATCTTTCATACCCTTCGATTGAAACGTAGGCCCTTCTCTTCCTGCGAAAAACTTTCTATAGAAAAAGTCTGATTGAAAATAAAGACCTCTATTCATTGACGACCCGTCGCCAATTTAGCTCCCAAAGGTCACTGGTAACTAGGATAACGGGCGTTTGAAACGGACAAAAGATAACGAGATTGAACTCCAGACCATCGCCAATTAAAAACAATTGCCCGACATTTTAGTGTTTCTGGCATTGGCTATATACAATAGAAACGCCCCCAGAGAAACCGGGCGAGGACGTCACTCAAGCTGGTATCTGGATCTGGATGAAGAAACGAATTTGTCACGAAAACCGTGGCAAAATTCTGCCTATGAACCCTGAACAACCCAGCACGTGGCAGAGGTTCGGACTTTGGCTTATTTTTGGCGTGTTTTTAGACTTTTTTTGCACAGGTATCTCACTTTACTCCGGGTTTTAAAAACGAAAGCCCGATTAAAAAAAAAGCCCCCAAAACACGCCAAAAATAAGCCAAAACCTAAACCTCTGCTGAAAGAAAACGGCCTGGGGTTCCAATAACCACTGTCACCTCTCAGTAACGGGAAGAGGTGAATAATGCCTCAGATGTCCAATAACACAAGGGGGTTATAAAGACGTGATATCAGGGTAACCAATTAAGATACGACACAGATCTAATTCTATTTGCAGGCGTTAATAATCGTAAATGTGTCATCTTGGACCAAGTCAAGTGATTTAGTCAAATGAAGTACAGGTATAAAAAAAGACGTAGTGAAAAGCTAATCTCACAGCACACTGACAAAGAAAGGTACATACAATGGTAAATAATAATAACAAAACAACAACAAGTAACAAAACAACAAGTAAGAAATCAGCAAATGGGCAATATAATCTGTATCTATATAGGCTGTATAACCGCCTTTCGGCGTCACACACCAACTTTTCAGGCACGCGGCGCGGCGGCCGCTGGCTACATTACACCGAACGACTTGTTAAATCGATAACATGTAAAAGAAGGATCATAATGTTTTGAGAAAGAATGCTTTCCCGTAGGCAGTTCCGTGCATGTTAACTAACACCTCTAGCTGGTTGATGGCCGGAGAAATGATGTCTTCATCAGTCCTCCCCATCTCCCTCCCGCTTATCTCTCTGGACCAGTAGAGGCGGAAATTAGAGACGGATAGCCGCGAGGCGACCTCAAACCGTATTGAAGTCTTAACTGATTTATACCCTTCACGATGTGGGGTTATATGGCCCTTGGGTAGATGGTAATCGCGGAGTTTAGTTTGCTTCTCTCCCACTGGTGTGCATGGATCTTAGAGCCAGTTTTTCACTCAGGTGATGGCAATTAAATGTTTCTCTTCCTCTGAGTGAAATGTGGGGTACTAACACCGTTAGAGCCGGGAAAAGGGTTATGGGTTAGATTAGTGCCCTTCGTGCGCAAATGGTGCAGTAGTTTAAACAATGAGATGGCGGTTGTGAACTGTTAGCATTTGAAAAGCAACAGGCAGTTACATACATGACCAAACGGTTCTTCTAACTTTTGCAGACGTTTTGACAACTGTGACCTGCAGTTTTCGATCGACCGTTTTCAGTTGTTTTTGCGTCTCAAAGTTTCGCTCGTGTTGTGTGTGTATTCAGTATTTCAATTTCGTTTTGTGCTTCTGTAAAAACAAACTTACAGCATTCGAAAGACGAGGCAAATCAAGTGAGAATACATTGTGACAAAAGGGAGCTGAACCATCTGCTTATTATTAATTCAAGATTATAAGAAACATTTTCTTATAAAATTGATGTAAAGTTAGTTATAACACAGGTCCTCATCTACGGTATAACATTCGTGCCTAGCGTCTTTGCTCAATGATCCGAGTCGAACGTTCCGTAAATCATTTCCACAAAAATTCTATGAAAATTGGTAAAAACAAGCTGGAGATGATCCCACCCCTACCCAATATCTGGTACCGCCCATCTCCCACAATTCCCCATTGTCACCTCATCCATGAAAATATGGCGTCTTCTGTTTAAAAACTATTTATACCAGTTCTTTTGCACAAATGTATCGTCCACCCTGTTCTGCCAGTACAAACCACATCTCAGAAGATGCATCCGCCGCCCGGGCGACTGTCACTACCTGCCACAGCGTCAGTTCTGTCGAACTGCGCCGGTAAGTTTCAAGATTTAAAACTTGCCCCCTCCCACACCAGGGGTTCATTTGAGTTGTCCTGAATATGCAAATGAGAACATGCACACATATATCTCCGAAGATGCACCCCCGCCCCAGCGACTGTCACCACCTGTCACAGCTTGAAGTTCTATCGAACTCTGTTGGTAAGTTTCAAGATCAACTTGCCCCCTCCCACACCAGGGGATCCGAAGTTCATTTTAGGTATCATAAATATGCAAATGCAGACATTTAGTTGTCCTAAATATGCAAATAAGGCCATTCATACATGCGTATGGCACACGCGTGGGGGGCACATCCACTTCACAATACTTTTTAAATTATGTATTTTTATCCATGATTGTTGTACTTTAGTACAAAGTTTGAAAGCCAGGGGGCGGTAATATCGGCACTATTTCGAGAGAGAAAATAAATCGGACAACTGACCTGACGCGTACTTTGATTGATTTGACACGCAGTTTGAGTCATCTGATGACGTCACGAGCACGAGCATTAGTCCCTCGTGACGTTGTTGTGACGT